TGCAGAAAGATCTGTCTCGGTTGTACATACTCCATTTCTAGGACCTCTGCCTTCGACACAGGTTGCTGGGCTCACTCAGTTTGATATCTGTTCACCATCCTTTGTCGTTGCCATTCGGGTCTGTAATCTGTAGGTACTGTGGTGGTTTGGTTTGTTTTAAAATAAGTAGTGAGCACAAGTGGGTATTCTTGATGCTGTGCTGAAGGCTCCTTTGGAGGATATAATGGATACCCCCAAGCAAGAACTGGCCATGGGTGTCCGAGTTGATCTGAAACCACCATGAAAACCAGCCTCTTCCAGAGTTCAGTAGAGCAGGGCAGAATATGCAAAAGCCAGGCAGCAGACCAACATAAGACAGCCTCCATTTCCTGCTTAATTTTCATAGAAATATGTATTTGAGAAGATAGCAGAGACAGTCAAGTAGATCTACTAGAGTCTAATGACAGAAGAAAGACCCTGAAAGAATGGAGACAAAAAAAAAAAAGAAGAAGAAGGGACTCACATGTAGATAACACCTACCCCACAGCCTCACAAGCATTTGAATTTGGTATTACTTTAATAAAGAAAGAAACTGAAGTCCAAGGAGCTCTTTTCAGTTGCTTTATGGCCAATAAGCTATAGCAGTGTTTTTTTTTGTCCATTGATTTTACAAATTATAATGCCACCACCTTTGGAATAGAATTGTGACATTTTTGAGTTAACCTTAGAAGCCCCCTTCCTTTTTCTCTGATGGTGATGATGATTTTTACCACTCCATCCACCCTGAGACACCTGTTCTCTTTTGGCTGAGAACATATTGTGAGATGTGGATTGGGGCAGGGCTTTTTCTTGGCAGACCTAAGAGAGTGCCCTGAGAGGTCATGTAGAAGAGGTTGCCAGGTAATTGCTAAAAGGCAGGAGAGTGAGACGAAGCTATCTCTAGGAACATTCCAGCCCACATGTCACCTCACAGCTGTTGACGCTTTTCTGCTTGTGCCTCTAATCCGTAAGATAAAACCTGGCTTGACGGAAACCTTCCATGGGCCTTTTGCTACCTACCTAGGTCCTCTTAACTCCACATGGAAGGCAAGAGTTTTTCCAGTGGGCTAGTCCAAGCCTGAATCCAACAGTTCTCAAAGATAACTTTGTTCTCAAAGATAACTTTGTACACTGTCAAGGATGATTGAATGCAGCAGTGAATTATATCTGATGCAGAGACAGGCCAGAATTTGAATCTTAGTTCAAGAGTTTATTAGCCGTATGACTTTCAGCAAGTACCAAGCCCATCTGAGCATTTGTTGTCTCGCCTACAGATGGACTAATAATGTCTATTACGTAAGGTTATTGTTGGGCACTGTGCACTGCACAGCTCCGGGGGGTGCTAGCCACACAGACTGATTGAAATGGCAACCCTGAGAGTTGTTGTAACAGGGCAATGCTGGCTCTTGTAAGTATTAGATACAATGATCATGTAAAGAATTCAGCATGGTATCTGAAACAGTGTTAGGGAGCAGAGCATGGTATTATTGTCTCAGGCAATCCCCTGCGATTTGCCTTTATGCCATTTTAGGATTTGCTTCTAATAAGGAAAATAGTTTGGGGGCACAGAAAACACAACCTGCAAAGACCTGGAGGCAAGCAAATCTCGTCTTCAGGGAATGGAAAGAATTTCTATATTTTGGAACTCAGAGGCCAGATCCTAAAAGGTCTAAACAGCCTATTGAAGGGTTTGTGTTTGTCTCCAGGGAAGTAGGCAACCCCTGAGGAGTTGTCAGAGACGTGAAAGAGTCAGGTCTGCACTGGAGCAAGTGCATTTTGGCTGTGAGGTGAAGAACTGGCTGGTGAAAGTTGGCAGTGATCTGAAGGGAGGGGTTCGTTCTGTCAGTCCTGGAGCAGACACAGCTGTGAATCTCTGTTCAGTGCTGAGTCTCTGTATTCTGTTCTGCTCTCTGTGAGCAAACACCTTTCTGATCCTTACAGGTTACCAAGACATTTTAAGTTGCAAATCTTCCAAAAGAGTCACTGCAAATGTTTCTTTCTCCTTTGTAAACTTTAGGTCTTTACTACATCATTGTATATACATTCCAGGCACTGGGATTACTTATAAATCAGATTTTTTTTTTAATAATAGGCAAAAACTCTCCTCTTTGTTCTACCCTTGACCCTCCAGGCTATTCTTCACTGAATCAGCAGAGATCATTTTATTTTATTTTATTTTATTTTATTTTATTTTATTTTATTTTATTTTATTTTATTTTTTTATGGGTCTCTTTCTTTTTAATTTTTTTATTCTTATATTTTATTGAAGTGTAATCAGTTTACAATGTTAGTTTCAGGTATACAGTATACACATACATACACATTTATATTTTTTTCAATTTCTTTTTCATTACAGCTCATTACAAGAAACTGAGCATAGTTCCCTGTGCTATACAGTACGTCCTTGTTGTTTATCCATTTTGTACATAGTAAGGTGTTATCTGTTAATCCTAAACTCCTAATCTATCCCTCCCCCCATATTTCTCCCACCTGGTAACCGCAGCAGAGAGATCATTTTAGAAGGAAAATCCGCTCATATAACACTTCTGATTGGAACCTCCCTATGATTCCCATCTTTCTCACAGTCAACGCCAACATCATATAGTGGCCTCAGCACCCCTCCTGGTCCATCCCCACCTTGCTCCCCTCACTCACTGCCCTCTCATTGCACTGGTTTCTCCATGGGCCCCAGACTACGCAAAGCACAATTCCCATCAGGATCTTGACACTTCACTCGGAATTTTCTTCCTGCAAATATCCACAAAGGTTGGTCTGTTGCTTCCTTTGAGACTTTGCTCAAATGTCTCCTTATCAGAGAGGCCACCTTTAAACCATCGAGTGTAAAATCATGCACGCCATGTGTGTGCACACACAGACATACACTCACACACTGACACACACACACACAGACTTCTGGTCCTACTGACTCTGCTCCCCACTCCTCCACTACAACAGCACTTTTCACCATCTGACATTTAACATTCATACTTATCTGTTTGTTTCCTGCCCATTCGAATATAAAGTCCACAAAGACAAACTTTTTTTACTCATTGAATTCTCAGGACCTAGAAGAGAGCCTAGCATGTCATTTTAAAATCTGTCTAGGCGGCCCTCGTAAATATCTGTGGGAGAAATGACTGCAGAGGGAGTTAGCACGAGGCCTTCCTCTGCTCTTACAGGCTGGTTCAATGTCACCTTGTTTTCAGGAGAGATCCTCCAGCCCACTCAAGCCCTGCAATGACTGAATAAGTAGACACGCTGACCATGAACTTTTGCATATTTGGAAAATGCGCTGCTTCTATTTTTTTCGACCTTTTACTGAGCATGGAATTCTACCACCAGGGCCCTCTGCTGTGTCTTCTTTAGCATGGGAAAAATGTCAGAGCTTATCTCCCAATAGTGATGAGCTAAAAAAAGGGCCTTAGGCGATGGTGGGCTCTCTGAGGGTTTGCCAGAAAGTGCTGGACTCCATGAGGGGTTCTCCTGGGCCCTGAATGTGGTTTTCAGTAGCAAACCATCCGCGGCAAACACAGGCTGGAGAATGCAGGTGGATGTTGGGGTGACTCTCAGACAGCCTGAGGCTCTGAGGGGCTCCAACCCAGCTCCACTTTTAACTTTGTGTCAGACCTCAGGGCTTTGCTCTGATTCAGAACCCTTCCTTCTAACACTGTGTTATCTGATGTCATAACTGGCCTTTTAGATCCGAGTTACCCTGACTTAGAGCAGACCCTTCTCTGCTTCAGCACACCCCCAGCCAAAGCCCCAGGGGCAGAGGTTATATGAGGTCACTGAGAGACAGAAAGACTGGTAAGCAAAGCAGAGTGGTGGACGGAGCCACCATGGACCTAAATTCGCCCACTAGCGATGCTGTTGTCATATCCCTGATTACCTACATCCTTCATCACCTGTGTACTTTGTGGTCACTGTCCTTTTGCCACATGAGCTCATTTAGGTGGAATTATTACCCTTGCGTGTTTCGGTCATCTGAATCCTCTATAGAACTAATACGTGTTTTCAAATGATCGTGAAAGGGATGACTTCGACTCGGAGAAGGAAGATTTTATGGCTGGTAACACTGATTTCACAGGCTGCCAGGCAAGAGTCTGAGAGATGCCTAGACCTGGTTATCTCCCTTTCCTGTTGTGGACGGCCTGCAGGTTCTAGAACGAGATCTGTACACAGATGTGAAGAGCTGTGCTTAAAGAACCAGACGCCCAGCTGCTCCTGCATCAGGAGACCCGAGCTTGCTGAGGAGAAGGAGGAAGTGTGCTCTCAGCAAAACATGCTTTTAAAAACTGCCCTTAATGTGTGGGATTATTGCCTTATGGCAGATTTTTTTTTCTCCCTCAAGTACAAATACCACTGGGCATTGATTGCAGCCCAGTTTAAAGATCACTCTGTGTTTCCAAGACCAATAGGACACAATTTCATGAAGTGCAGTGTAAACTGTGTTCCAGAATTTAAGATCATCACCAAACCTTGTGTTGGTAGGATTTTGAAAGTCTGAATGTCATAACCTCTACCTTAACAAGGTGATTTTGGCAATGAAACAGTTTCTGGAAGACGATTGTACTAAGCAGAATTTAAAAGAAAATCTGCTTGAGCAACAAGGAGAAAGTTATTTAATGCTTCAAAAGTTTTTTTCTTTCCTTTTATTGGCTGTTAACAGGCATACATGTGTATTCAATGAAGCAAGGTTTTAATTGAACTTTGCATTCCAATAAGTCTGTTGTATACATTGTTCAGGGGATGGGGACTACATAGAGAAAATCCACAAAGGGAGAGATTGAGTTGTAACCTTTACAAAGGATTGCTTAATCACAGATGGGTTCTTAGAATCATGATTCATCATAGTATGGTGATAGTCAAATATAAACAAACAACTGGTAAACATAATAAAAACAAGTCATTAGTCATGCTTTGAATCTGGCTCTAACGGTGTGACTCTTTTTTCCACCCTCCCCCCATCTTTTTCCCAGTAGGTGGGGACGATAGTTGGAACTCTGCCATCGTACGACATGCCGCGATTCAATCTCTCCCCCACCTTTTTGATGGGATTTCATCTGTTAGCCATGCTGGTTCTCTTATTTTCCCACGTGGACCCTATAAGTGCTGAGACAGAAATGGAAGGAGAAGGCAATGAAACAGGCGAATGTACAGGCTCGTATTACTGTAAGAAAGGGGTAATCTTACCCATTTGGGAGCCCCAAGATCCTTCCTTTGGGGACAAAATTGCTAGAGCAACTGTGTATTTTGTGGCCATGGTCTACATGTTTCTTGGCGTCTCTATCATTGCCGACAGATTCATGTCCTCTATAGAGGTCATCACTTCTCAAGAAAAAGAAATCACCATAAAGAAACCCAATGGTGAGACCACCAAGACGACTGTGAGGATCTGGAATGAGACGGTCTCCAACCTGACCTTGATGGCCCTGGGCTCCTCGGCACCAGAGATCCTCCTCTCAGTGATTGAAGTGTGTGGCCACAACTTCACAGCAGGAGACCTCGGCCCGAGCACAATCGTGGGGAGCGCTGCGTTCAACATGTTCATCATCATCGCGCTTTGTGTTTACGTGGTCCCAGACGGGGAGACCAGGAAGATCAAGCATTTGCGTGTGTTCTTCGTGACGGCAGCTTGGAGCATCTTTGCGTATACCTGGCTTTACATTATTCTGTCTGTCATCTCTCCTGGGGTCGTGGAGGTCTGGGAAGGTTTGCTGACTTTCTTCTTCTTTCCCATCTGTGTTGTGTTCGCTTGGGTGGCAGATAGGAGGCTTCTGTTTTACAAGTATGTCTACAAGAGGTATCGGGCTGGCAAGCAGAGGGGAATGATTATCGAACATGAAGGAGACAGGCCATCTTCCAAGACTGAAATTGAAATGGATGGGAAGGTGGTCAACTCCCATGTTGACAGTTTCTTAGATGGTGCTCTGGTTCTGGAGGTGGACGAGAGGGACCAAGATGAGGAAGAAGCCAGGCGAGAAATGGCTCGGATTCTGAAGGAACTCAAGCAGAAGCATCCAGAGAAAGAAATAGAGCAATTGATAGAATTAGCTAACTACCAGGTCTTAAGTCAACAGCAAAAGAGTCGAGCATTTTACCGCATTCAAGCTACCCGCCTGATGACTGGAGCAGGCAACATTTTAAAGAGGCATGCCGCTGACCAAGCAAGGAAGGCTGTCAGCATGCACGAGGTCAACACAGAAGTGGCTGAAAATGACCCTGTCAGTAAGATCTTCTTTGAACAAGGGACATATCAGTGTCTGGAGAACTGTGGTACTGTAGCCCTGACCATTATCCGCAGAGGTGGTGATTTGACCAACACAGTGTTTGTTGACTTCAGAACAGAGGATGGTACAGCCAATGCCGGGTCTGATTATGAATTTACTGAAGGGACTGTGGTCTTTAAGCCCGGTGAGACCCAGAAGGAAATCAGAGTCGGCATCATTGATGATGATATCTTTGAGGAGGATGAGAATTTCCTTGTGCATCTCAGCAATGTCAAAGTATCTGCCGAAGCCTCGGAAGATGGCATCCTGGAAGCCAATCACGTCTCTACACTCGCTTGCCTGGGGTCTCCCTCCACTGCCACCGTGACTATTTTTGATGATGACCACGCAGGCATCTTTACTTTTGAGGAGCCCGTGACTCATGTGAGTGAGAGCATCGGCATCATGGAGGTGAAAGTGCTGAGAACGTCTGGAGCTCGCGGAAACGTCATCGTTCCCTACAGAACCATTGAAGGCACTGCCAGAGGTGGAGGGGAGGACTTTGAGGACACTTGTGGAGAGCTCGAATTCCAGAACGATGAAATTGTGTAAGTTCTCTCTTTTTATTTTAATACCTGTGTGTGTGTGGTTGAGTGTGTTCGTGGATGTGCCAGTGTGTGCATGTTTTTTAAAACCTGAATGGCAAAGAAAATGTGGAATAGTTACTATGTAAGACCACTTTCAAATTATCAAAATATCCTAATTTCTAGCTCATGAGCCAGTAATCAGTATGCTATATATGCAGAGATCTGAAGTTGATTTTATTTTTTACTTTTGGACTGTTAACAGCTTTTAAGTACATCTGTAGATCATGATAGAATGAGTGTCCTGCACAATTTATCCAACTGCTTATCATGGGCTGAAAAATGTGTGTTCTATCTTGATCATGTAATATACACACAGAAAGGGAATATTTAAAACATCACATTAGGTCCTAACTTCATTACCGAGTACAGATTGGGAAAGCCCAAAAAGGAACCATCTCGGAAAAGAATTTCCTGGCTAACAGGGCTGGCTGAAATGACTTCTGCTGCTTTTATCTGACACTGTTTTTGTGATAATATAAGATAATGTTTCTGCTTAAATGCTAATGCTTAATTATGACTTAATGATCAATCCTGCCTTTCAGTTTTATGCCACTGGGGAAAAGTCATAAAGCTCTTCTTTAGTTCCAGTCTGATTTTACTTTACATGATGGAACAAACCCTTTTGTCCTACTAGTATAGGGTTGGGGGAGGAAATAAGATTCTGTCCAAGCATCCGAGTTGACAGGGAGCAGATCAGAGAAAAGAAGTGGGAACAATTTACTCTTCCTTTTGGTACTTTACAGTGACACTTGCCAGTGTTGTAACACAGGATGTCTGGTTGTGCAATGATTCTTCCATTGACAGCTGCTGTTTAGAGAGCTATTGTTCCTTCCTTGCCTAGGGGAGCAGGCGTCACACTCACCAAAAGCAAACCAGAAAATGTGGCTCAATGAGCAGTATCCAAAATGGAAGGAAGCAAGGAAGAAAGGAAACTATTTTAATATCTGCAGGGTGTCAGAGGACATTCAAATGAACGGTTATGTTGGTGAAATCATTGGCAACTTGGGAATTTCAGGAAAAATAATATAAAATATAGTTTGTTCTAGAGATGGTTAACTTTGGTGTAAATGACATGTGATAGATATATCAAATGGCGAGTACATTCTCTCCAAGATGAAACTGCTCCTTCAGTAAGTGTAAGGGAAATTAACACAAAGTTGGAGGTGGGGATGGGCAGAGGGAACAGATTTTCCTAAAAGAGCCTCCCCATGTCTTTCACCTCTTTGACATTACATTATAGAGGTGGACAAATAGTGTATTGTCACAATGAAATCAAGCAAAGAGATTTTAATAGCCATCTTTGGATGTGTGGGTGGGATACCTTTTGCTGAATATCTGTTTTACGTTGGTTCCTGTGGGTTAACGTTCCCTTAGTGAGATGTGTTTCCTTGGGGCAAGCTTTTTACTGAAAGATGATAATACAGTAGCAAATGAATACCTTACATACCCAAGGAAGGATTGTCCCAAAAGCCTGTGTAGAATGTGATCCTGCCCACATTAGCCCATAAACTTAATTTCTTTAGTAGGAAACCTTTCTCATTACATTGTACCTAATACAATACCCTCTTGTATTAGGTACACTTTTACATGGATTACAAATGCTGTTGCATGTGTTTAAGGGAATATTGTGTGTTATTAAGTGAACTCACAAGGGGAGCTCTTAAATATGACCAAATTGGTGTTTAGTTTTGTTTACTCATTTTGCTTAGGATGTTTTCTCGAGAAAATTTGCTTTTGCTTTCTCTTGAGGATAACGGCTCTGCATTTGAGGGGTAGGCTTTCCCTATCTAATCTGCTGTCCAGGACTTTTTTACTAAACCATAAACAAATAACTTTCTTTTAGGTATAGTGTAGCAGAAGAAGAAGAAAGAAAAAAAACCACAGTGATTTGATGGTATAATTTATTCTGCCAACATTAAAACTCACCCTATGCCACTGAATTCATTTAATTCTTGCTAAGGAAGGAATATTGCCAAATTTCAGTATTAGAAATTTAGACACCGTGTGAAAACTTGTAAGAATCAGTGGAATTATCAGCATGCCATCTCTGTATATATGTTGTCAGGAATGTTCTAGAACAATTGCCAATTCCTAGTTTCATAAAATTCTTCTTGGATTTCATTTACTAAGTTGAAATAAGAAATTTTAGAAATGGAAAAACATTTTATTTATAAATGAAATGAAATTATAGCCTAATGTTTTTGCCTTCTTTCTAGAATTTTAATTTTAAAGAGTCTTCATCTTACAGAGTTTTCCTACTGACGAGGTTTGTAGATGGTTATTAGGTCTATTGCTTGAATACATTTGCTGGGGTGACTGGGACTTAGCCTTAAGCTAGGCTCCAAGGATTCAAACATAATGCTTCTAGAAAAATATAGTATTATTAAAGGTCTCTTATTCTTTGTTTTTTTTTTAATGGATTTTTCCTGTGGTTGTTATTTCCAATGCCAGGTCCACACAGTCAGATCCAAGTGAAAGAGAGTTTGTCATCATGCAGTGAGGTTGAGCTATGTAGATTCCACTCAATTTATCTTTAAAAATGAATTTACATTTCATCCAATTACACAGTTAATCTTGAGATATGACTTTCTTAAAAACCTACCATACATCAATAGTTGACACCATTGAGTTTTATTAAATACTTTTAAACATCTTTTTTTGTTTGTTTGTTTAATGCTGTACATGAAGCCAGAGTTTGTGATTCTTTCCAGAGCACCATAAAAGAGATTCCTGGAAAAGCCTGGATTTAGAGTATATTGAATTTTAAGACGTCATTAACCAAGGTAAAAATAGGGTCCAGTCTGATCAGATATAGATAGGAGGTAGTTGCCTTTATTGATTCACTGATTTTCAAGAACAAGATAAGTTCCTAATCCTTGACCTCATTTTTAGTGTAGAGGAAGTCATTTAAGTTTATAACATAAGCAAGTCTGTACCTATTCATTCTTATTTTTAAGTAAATGAGTTGAATTATTTCAGCTTGACCTTTTTAAAAATCAAAATCAGTATTTGAGGAAAATATCGGTTAACTGGTAAGAGGTACTTGTCTCTAATAAAATATATTCTCAGCAAAATATTTTAAAAGTATAATGCAAAAACCCATCAAATAGATATAATTAACAGCATATGCTGTTGTAGAAACTCAATCAGTGACCAATACTAAACCCATGCCAGCTAATCTTGACTTTCAACAGGGAATTCTGTCTAAAGTAACAGCTAATAAAAAAAAATCAATGAAGAATATGCTAATTTGGTTTGTGGTTTGGTAGGTGATAGCCACAGATTTGACGTGCTAGTGATGTTTGTTCTTTCATGATGCTGGTTTAGTGATAATAATTATTACAAAACATAGTTCGGGCTTTCAAAGTCTAACATTAGCTTGACTGTTCTGGAAAATGTTAAGGTTAATTAACTAATGTAGATACAAATCAAACTTAATTACTTAGTTATAGGCCAGCAATAATATCATTTTTGGAAGATGATTCAAAAGATCATGAACATTTACTGTCATACATTTAAAATGCAAAGTTGGAAAGCAAAGTATATAGGTTGGAAAATTTACATAATATATTGCTTAGTAAATCAGTTTACTGGGGCTTTCTAGCCATGATTTGTTAAGCAGTGGATCTGTCCAAAGTTAACTTTATTTTTAAAACTATTACATTTTCAAGTATAATTGTAACTTCATTGACTCTAGCAAATGCAATATGCAAGACATTTCAACAAATATACCTCTTGAATTCAAAATATGTTACATCACTTTTTGAAAAATAAATAGAAAAGAAATAAAATTTTAGTACTTACAGGTTTTATGGAATCATTATTATTATGTTACAGGGAAAATACTTTGTTTTTGCTATTTATATTATCAATATCCTTTTCTTGCTCTATAGAATTCCAAGGAATAAAGACCTAGCTGTATGAGATTGCAATTCAGTTCTGAAAGTAGAACAAATATGTAATATGAAAAGGCTGCCAGCTCTTTAAAAAATGAAGAAAAAAAAAACAGTAAGAAAATTTAAAGTGACCAGAACAAGAATAATAATGGTGTATATTTGGGAGAATCAGAAATGATGAAAAATACTAGAGATAATGTTAGACAAGAAAGGCTATTAACACATCTACCTTAAATCTGATCAATATTTAAGATTTACTGTGTGGCAGAAGAATTTTATCTGCCCCATTTAGCCTACCAAAATAATAAAGCATTTACACTGACATAAAATTTTCCTAAGTAATGTAAAAACTTTAGGTGGAATAATTTTGGGCTTTTAATATATTTCTGCTTTGGTGGATTGTCTTTTCAGACTGGACTATCTGTCTCTTCTTAGAACCAAATCACATGTAGCATCATGTGCAAATCTAAATTGCAACTACAAGAAATGTTTTTATAAATGCATATGTTTCCATGAATGCATAACTGTTATAAAAATAAAAAATTTACGACTTCTAATTCACTACTGCCAGGAGCCTAACTTGATTATGTGCAGAAGTGTTGTTTACCATGTCAACCAGCTTGTCGTGTTTGCTGTTGTAATCTCGTTTTCCCACTGCTAATTAGAGTTTGGGGTTGTAATATCGTTATGTAAAGAAATTTTATCTTAGCGAATGAGGAGATTTCATAGTTTAGACACACTGAAATATTTAAATTATGGACTCTTTTCTGAGTCATCATTCAAAGTCATCACTTAGGGGATTGTTGCTTCATTGGTTCAGGGTTAGAGAAGAATTTATATATTAATCCATCTGCACGTACTTACTAAGCTACTGATTTTTGCCCAGTACTGGGCTAATCATTATGAAGGAAACAGAACTATCCTCCAAATACTCAAAAACGGGAGATAATGAGCTAACATATTTTGCTAAGTACAAACATCACTACAAAGATACAGTTTAAGCTGGAGGAGAAACCTTAATTTCGGGCAAAATATTTGCATTTGCAGAAGGCATAATTGGAGATA